GAAGTGTCTGTTCATATCCTGTGCCCATTTTTCAATTGGATTATTTACCTTTATCTTGTTGTCTTGTTGTGCTGCTCAAGTATTTCATAAATTCTAGATATGTCTCTTATCTGACATGTCATTACCAAATACTTTTTTCTAGTCTGTGGCTTCCCTTTTTACCCCGTTGGAGAAATTTTTGGATATGCATAGGGATTTGATTCTTAGAAGGTCCCATTCATCTATTTTATCTTCTCCTGATTGTAGATTTTTCATGATACTTGGAAGACTGTTTATGTTGTGGATTAGGACTACTAGAGTTCTTCCAAGGTTTTCTTTAATGAAGGTTATAGTCCTTGGTTTTAGTCCTAGATCCATGATCCACCTTGAGTTGGTTGTTGTATATGGAGTGAGGTGTGGATCTTGCTTGAGTCTTCTGCAGATATGGAGAAGTTCTACATCATGTTTTGCTGTAGAAGAGATAGTTTGCTATAGAATAATTAGTAGATTAGATCATGGACTTCAGAGGTAGATTGTCATACTTCATAGCCCATTCCCTTCATTTTCACTTTTTATTTTAATCTCCATTAAGTTTCTTATCTAAGTATCATTAGGTGGGGTCAATTCTTGGAAAAAGGCATCACATATGAAAAAATGAAAGGTCAGTGAAAGAGCAGAAGACCCTCAATGAGAGGGACTTCACAATGACTTCAACAACGGTCTTGAGCATGCCTAAAATTGTGAGAATGGGGTGGTATAGTATAAAATTTCAATCTATTCTTCATACGGTCACTGACTTGGAGGTTTCTGACCATCATGAAACAACACTAAGACAATTGAACTGTTGATTTATAACCTTCAAAGTTTGTGTAACCCTCAACATCCAAATGGAAAGGTTTATAGGAGTGGGGAGAGAATAAGGATGAAAGGGATTCATGGGAGTTCTTTAAGTTACAGAAGATGTTATTTAATTAATTTACCTGTATCAAGGTTTCAAGTGTGTCTATGTTCATCAAATCATATAAAGAGACATCTAGCTCTGGTGGCCTACTGGCAAGAAGCTACACTGCAATCCAGAATGTACATGGTTCAAGGCCAACAGCCGCTCTGTGGGAGAAAGATGGGCAATCTCTTACCATGAGATTAAGTGCCTCTGAAAACCCTCCAGAGGGTCAGCAATGGGTCAGTTCTGACTCAAGGGTACAAAACAATCACAATTCTGAAAAATTAGGAAGTCAGTGTATACTTCATCCTATATGAACAAAAGATGTTCCAAGTTGACTTTTGATAATTAGATAGAGAAAAACACAAATATATTTCAATTTTTGATGGGGGGATCATTTTATATTATGTAACAATATAGCCTAGAATCTAGACCCTAGAACATGCAATTGACTGACAAAATTGTTGCTCAGAGACATTTTGTCACTTATATATACCATGATTTACAAGGAAAACAGCTAATTTTTCATGACTCAATCTAGGAAGCAGGGAGCTCTGGTGGCGTAGTGGGTAAGGAGATGCACTGCCAACCCAAAAGTTGTTGTTATTGTTGTGTGCCGTTGAGTCACCCGTGACTCACAGCAACCCTATGTACAGCAGCTTTGAAGCCTGCCCTATCCTGGGGCCAGTTTCACTAACTCCAATACACCTACTCCCATTGCCCCAGTTACTGTATCAATCCATCTCATGCAGGGTCTTCCTCTCCTGTGCTGTCCCTTCACCCTTCCCAGCGTGATGTCCCTCCCCAAGGACCAATCCCTCCTGGCCACATGCCCAAAGTATGTAAAACAGAGCTTCAAAATCCTTGCCTCCAAGGAGAAACTTGGTTTCACTGTAAGTCAGATCGATTTGTTTTCTTCGCAGTGCATGGTATGTTCAATTCTCTTCTCAGCACCACAATCAAAGGCATCAATTCTCCTTCTGTCATCATTAGTCACTGTTCAGCTACCTGATACATAGCAAGTAATTGTGAAGACTATATAGCCTGAATCAGGCATACCTTAGTTTTTAGACTTACATTGCTCTTCAGCACTTTGGAAAGGTCATTGATAGCAGACTTCCCCAGTACACTTTGTCTTTTGATTTCCTGACTGCTGGTACCAAGAATGTTGATTAAGGAGCCAAACAAGCTGAAATTGTTAACAACCTCAATCTTTTCTCCATCCATCATGATGCTGTCAATTGGCCTGGTGGTGAGAAGATATTTGATCTTGAGTATCGATTCACAGTGAAGACTACAGTCCTTGACTTTCTGAAGCAAATGGTTCAGGTTCTCCTCAGTTTCAGTAAGCAAGACTGTGCCATCTGCATAGCAGAAGTTGTTGATGAGGTTTTCCTCCAATCCTCCACACTCCTCCTTATAAAGTCCAGCCTCTTGAATGATCTGTTCCATACACATATTGAAAAGATATGGAAACAGGACACACTCCTGACACACTCTTTCCCTAATTTTGAACCATGCAGTATTTCCTTGCTCTTTTCTGATAACTGCCAGCATCATTAGCAAGAGTTAAATTTGTTCCATATTTTTGTATCATTTGGTAAGTAATTACTCTTGCTTTTACTAAGTTGTAGCCTCATCAGATCTCACAGGAGATGAATGAACTGAAGAACAGAATGTCCACAATTAAGCCAATGCTAAATTCTTCAGGGAAATTTGTCTTTTTTTAAGAAAGTTTGAGAGATCATTAACTAGATTATAAAATTCTTATCAGGACTACGATTTACAGCTACAAAATCTATTCAGCTGATTGTCATATTCACCTATCTTAAAAAACATAATAATGGCTCACTGAGACAGGAAGTGAGATGGGAAGGGAAAGAGGCTTTTGAAGATTGCAGAAAATTAAGAGCAGAGCAAGAAAAAGAGGAAAGTCAACATTTAAAGAACCAGCAGACACAACTAGAATTGGATTATGAGAGAGAAGAGAGTTTGTTTGGACTTTATTGATAGCATTGTTGGGTGCCATTGAGTTGACTATAACTCATAGTCACCATATGGACAACATATCTGAGCCTTTTCCTTTCTGTGAGAGCCTCATTATCTCTGATGTGTTCAAACCCACAGTCACTGTGTCAGTTCACCTTGTTGAGACGCTTTCTTTCTTTCTCTGACCCTTCACTTTTCCCAGTCTGATGCTCCAAGGACTAATTCCTCCTTACAACATGTCCAAAGTATGTGAGACCACGTTTCACCATTCTTCTGAGGAGCACTCTGGTTTAACTTCCTCCAGGAAAGACTTGTTTGTTCTTTCAGCAGTCTGTGGGATAGTCAATACTCTTCTCCAAAACCACAATTCAAACGCACTGACTTTTCTTCAGTCAGATTATTCATTGTCCATCTTTCTAAGTTGCTAAAGAAGCAACTGAAATTCACCTTGGCTTGGATCAGGTGCGCTTTAGTTTTGAAATGGACATCTTTGCACTTTAGAACTTTGGAGAGGTCCATGATAGCAGATTATCCCAGTGCAAGCATGTCTTTTGATTTATTGACTGTTTCTACCATGTTAACATCAACATATGACAGAGATAAAAATAAGTTCATCATGCACATTTTATGCATTCAATAATTATTAATGTATGAGGCAATTAGTAATATGTGGGAATAGGAATTTCTCCAAAGAATGCTTTTCTTCATCAAAACTTTGTTTCTCCAATGAGCTAGTCTTGGAACTGTTCACTAATCCATAACAAGATGAAGTATGCACCAGAATATAAATGGATAGCTTTTTTCAGTGTGAGAGTTTTATTGTAAATAGGAAACAGTTCAACTGAGGACAGCAGATATATAAGGAGCGATAAAGTTGATTTCTTTTTCTGGAGGAAGCTCCTTCAAACAAAGGTTTCCGCAATGGTTTTGTCTTTGCCTTGAGAACTCTCCAAAGGTATATCAACTTTGAATGTCTGTTTCCAAACAGCTTTCCCAGTTTCTATAGTAGTGAGTACACTGTTGGCACTATCACTTTTTGGCATTTGTCTTAAAAATATCAAGGATGTCCTAGTGTCTGTTTGCTGAATGATGAGCTGCAAACCCTAAAAGGCTCGGTTTTAAGTTTTATCTTCTAATGGGAAGTAGCACTGCCCATGATTTTTACCTGGCTCATACTGATTTCTGTAAGTATTACTCTAGAAATACCTTATTTCAGGCCAGAAATGATATGAAGGAGAATGGAGGAGTAAGAATACTCGTGAAGTTCTTTGTCTACCATAGGCCAACAAAGAACTAGAATACTAACTGGACTGTAGTGTTCTGATGTCATTTAACTTTTAAAAAAAATAATTTTTTAAAAGAATATAATTGGAATGTATTCCTCCTTTCAAAATACTGCTAAATATATAAAGGTATCCAAGGACTTAAAATATTTATATAAATTTATGTATATTGACAACTTAATGTGTTTAGATTTAAGAAGAGAAGAATGGGTGGCATACCCTTCATAAACCAATTAGCATTTGTTTGCACCTACATGTTTATGTAACTTTATCAAATAACAAAACAAAATGAAATTATACTGAAATTTTGCAACTCCAATATGATAATATTCTTTCAAGTAATTCCATCAATCAACTTGGCTCTGCGAGATGGTTATGATAAATTCTGGTTGTGAGTCACAGCATATTTTCAATGATTATTACTGTCCTAAATTGGCAGGTGAAGTGTGCTGTCCAGATGAACAGCACAATCGGGTTTCCATTGGCCTTGGTGACTCCTGCTGCGGCCGAGTGCCATACTCCTCCTCGGGTCACCAGATCTGCTGTTCGGGGAGCCTTCATGATGGCCATGGCCAGCAGTGCTGTGGTGGACAGATTGTGAGCAAAGACTTAGATTGCTGTGGTGGAGAAGAAGAAGGTGTGGTGTACATTCGACTTCCAGGTAAGAAGCCTTTGTCAACTCTTCAGCAGATGGGGAAACAAGGCAGGTGAGACATTAATGTTTGAAATAAAGAAGTCATTAAAAACATCTTCATTGGAATTCTATTTAGTGTAAAAATTGACTGTATATGCTATGTGACAAATACAAATTAAAGCTCACATTTATATATATAATTGTTTGCTTTTATAAATACTTACAGATCAAAATTGAAATTCACTTCTAAAGAATTTGGTAACTGTTAGGCCCACACACAAAAAGAAAGCCAAAAACAGACAAACCACATATGTGAATGCAATCGATGGTAGTTGATCAAGATTATATTTCTTAACACATATGAATAGAATAATTATGATGATGATCAACAACAACAATCTCATTGCCATCAAGTTGCCACTGACTCGTAACTGACTCTCCAGCAGGTTTTCAGAAGCAGTAAATTGCATAGCAGAAGAGTATCCATCTTTCATGGGTTCAATAATGTATACTCCATTGAAACAGTTGCGGGAGAAAGCTGTTTAAATGGGGTATGTGATTAGGTATTATTGTCATGACAGGAGTCCAGAATGAAGCCTGCATAGTGGAGTGGACCTGCGGGGAGGGGTTGTAAAACAATGAAAGAATTTTTCTTTTACTTTTCAAAGAGGTGACTGTATTGGGGGGAGGGTTGGGAAGCAAGAAAAGTGCAACAATGAATGATTGGAATTCCAAAGTCTCTGTAAATGTTCATTGAAAGTAATAATAAATTAAAAAAAAAAAAGAATATCCATCTTTCTCCCATTGAGCGGCTGGTGGATTCAAACTGCCTCTCTTTAGGTTGGCAGCACACCCCTTAAATCCTAGGCCACTGAAGCTCCCTACTATGATAATACCATATGCTTATTCTTTTACCTATTTACTCTGTAAAATTGGTAAGATACACCTTTTTCAAAAGTAAAATACATTTTCCATTGTATTTTTCAAGTAATTTATGTTACTTCTCACAACTTGTATTATAAAATATAATCAAGTTACTTACACATTACTTTAATTCTATAACCATCATTTTCTTTTATTGTCTCTTGCTGTTAATATTATCTTAAATTCATTTTTCCTCATTTTCTTCTTGGTGTCAGAAAATTTTTAATTTATTTCATTTTTCATTTTAACAGGTTTTGCTATATATTTCATTATTTTCCCCCAATCTTTTTCTTTAAACCTTCCACTTATAAAACGTAGATAGCTTTCTTACTTTCATATCCATTCAAATTGCAGCTAAAGTAACAGTTGTTATCTTTTTGGAAAAGATTGAAAAAAAAA